GCAGCAGACAGTCCTCCTGGGGAGAAAATGACCAAAAATACAAAATAACAAAAATGGTGAAGGGACCTCTATCTCATTTAAAAACTTTGGCAGCAATAGCTAAAAGCAATCTTAAAGAACATGTTTTCCCGTCTTACTTTAACATTTCAACCATAACAAATAAGGTGAATTCAAGAACTTCAGTGTCTAAAATGGTTGTAGATTTTTTTCAAGACCTTCTTTAAATCATTCTGAGGTACTGAAAATGGGCACATGCATCAGGCTTTTTTTTAATATACATGGTATCATATCAAATAGAAATATTTGTTTCTTAACAACCCTTCTAATTAAGGGTGCACCGATTGCAGTTTTCTGGCCAATCACCTATTACTGATCTAGTAAAAATCCTGACCTGCTGATTCCGATTTTGGTCAATACTAATTTTTTTTTGTCTAAAATGTTTCTAAATGGAGCAAGAAAGTTAATGAGTTGCCAACAGTGAGGTGACTATTGTTAACTGCGAACATATAGACCTGATTTGGTGGGCCAGTCTGTTAGTCAGCCCTCTCTCACAGCAGAGCAGAAGAAGGTAACAGTTGATTTAAATACCTTTGCTGAGGTAGATAAAATTGGTAGTTACGATCAGCTTCACATGTAAAAATCAGCACCGATAAATAGGCTGGCCAATAAATCGGTGCATCCCTACTGCTAACCATTTAACAGAATCTCACTTCAAAAATCTTAACCTATACCTTGAAGGACAGGACTTTTCAACACCTTAACTGTCATGAGGACATCATTGACCCATTGACTAACATGTAAACATTGATGAATGGTAAAATGAATAACTGATCATTGCATTCAGTTGTCAGTGTTCCAGCTTTACTTTCCCACTGACTGATACGAAGTGGTAAAATTTGAAGTTTATTCTTCTAAGGAAAATTATTTGAAGGATCTTGTTCACTAGATGATCTTTGTAATCCTTGCAGAGGATTATGAAGAGGATTAATTCATAACAATGAATGAGTTAATCTATAAAATTATTATGGAATATAGCATGGAAAAAAATCACTGTACTTACTCATCTGACACTGAAACTGGTCTGCACAGTCAATAATAACATACGTGTTCATGATGGAATTTATTTATTTATAGGAGCAGTTTGTGTTCATTCACACTGAATGAGACTTTTACATCTCCAAAGATAAGGTCCTGGTCATTAGAGACACCCGTGATGTTCTATCAAATTCTGCATCAGCTCTAAACAAACTAACTTGTGGGATTTCTGGAAGAGTCCACAGGTGAGAAAAAGAGGGAACATTACTAACAAAGGTGGTAATCTGCAGCTCACTGTCAGGCTTCACCTTCAACTCCAATTGTCCTTTAAGATTAATTTGAATTCAAACATCAACTAGAGTGATTTTCAGTTTTTTTTTTTTTTTTTACGCTGACCCATCTGTGAACTCTGTAACTGTACTCAGAGTCATCAAACTTCAGCATCTCTTCATCTCATTCCCCTCCCCCTTCTCCTGCTTGTGGTCTCTGGGTGTTTGTTGTTAGTTTCCTGTCACAGAGGAAGTGCCTCACCCTGCTGCCTGGTTCCTTATTGGCCACACCTTTGAGGGATTGTGATTTTTTTTGCAGGGGAGCAGATAGATAGAGGGACCGGAGTCAGGATCTGAGGACAGGAGTGTGAGATGTGGCAGATGTCAGATCGATGCACAGGATGGTTCAACTGGAGATGACTGAGAGCTGGAGGAAGGCAACAAGTTTCTGGCAGGCAGGAAATGGCTTTGTGTTGCAGAAGGTAAGCATGCACAAAACAGCTTCACGAAGAACTGAGCTCAGTATTTACCTTAGAAAAAAGAACAATGTGTTTTTAAAAAAATATATTTTAGATTTTCTTGATATATTCAAGAGTTTTGTTACAAGTTTTCTCACTTTGTTTTACTTGTGTTATGGTTAAGGTCTGATGTATTTAAACAATACAAATGAATTATTCTTTTTTTCAACTCTAGCACTCCTTATTTGAAAGCAGATCAGCATAGGAGTGTGCTGCAGAGAAGGGAGGGTATGCAGTACAAGACTTTGACTAGGACTCAGAGCTCAGCATCAACAGAACTTCTCCCCAACCTGATAAACATTTCATCATCTACTCTACTGGCATTTGTGAGTTTTTGTTGTTGTTTGTTTTGGTCAATGTTCTTCATTCTTGGTCTGGTCACTCCCAATCCTTGTACCAGTGCCTTGATTTTATTGACGCTGGACAGGTTTGGGAGGCGCTGTGCCAAAGACTGCCGCCTTGCTCTCCTCCATCATTTCCACATGAAATAAAGATGTGTCCATTCTTACATCAAAACCTATTTGAACTGATGAATTTGTCCTGTTCTTGCTTTTCTTTATTTTTTTGTGATTTTCAAGAGAATCTGTTCCTTAGAACAAATAATTTTTTAACTTCATGACTGTGACATGTATGACATTTATGACATGTGGTGTAGCATGAAGTTGACTGAAAAGCATTTGAATAAAAAAAAACATCTCTTTTGCATTAATGTACTTTTTCTTGCAAAATGTTGCAACGTTTTCAGTATGGACCAGAATGGAGGGGGTTTTCAGTATGTCATTGATCAAATATGAATATGAAAATGATTTAGGAGGATGTTGGTGAATGTTGATGAGTGCTTAGACCATCATGATTTCAGACTGCTAGCAAACTTGGAGACCCACTTGGGTAAACCAGGTAAGCCTTATCAATCTGAACGGAAAATTTAAAGGGGCAGTTTCATGTAAAATTTACTTTTTAAAAACTGTACATTGTGTGATGTTATTCAGGAGTCATCAAAAACCTGAAATATTGCTGTGATTCTTTCATGCATGTTTGCGAAATCCTGTAATCTCCATGGCAAAACACCAGGGTGGACAGAGCGTCAGCTCCTCCTCACAGCTGGAGTTTCTAAACTTCCCAGGGTTTGCCGTACAGAGCAGCCCTCCTTCACTCAGCTCCTTCAGACTAGCCAGCAGTAATTAGCAAACAACTGGTGGAACTGCTGAGCTCATTACAGGAGCTACTTCTCAGTAAAACGCTGGTAAAAATGTTGTTAAAGGGTTAAGAGAGGAGGCATGCTGTGATGACTTCCTGAAACAGAGTTTTAGCGAGAACAAGAGTTTTTAAAGAGACAGAGGGCCAATTCAAGGGGTTAAATTACAAAGTCATATTTGATATGAACAGCATTTTTATAACAATGGAAATTAACATGATTATTTGATTGTGATATAAAATGGCAACATGTGCCTGGACAACACATAATACTGCCACTTTAACATCTAATTAATAACATCCATCACCTGCTTGTACTTGCAAGATTGGAGGCAGAGAGGAAGGGGTCAGGGCATAGGAGTGGTGGTGCTCGTCTCTAGTGGTGATTGGGTGAGAGATGGGTTACACCCTGGACAGGTCACCAGTTCATCATAGGCCAACAAAGACACATGCACATACTAATACCAAAGGGAAGTTTTAGAAAGACCTATTAACCTGAAGTTTCTGGACTGTCAGAGAACCTGACAGATAAAGTGAAACACACTGATTAGCTTCGTCATGACAGCAAGAGAGCATCCAACAGCTTCCTCACAGCCGATGTGTTTGGAGCAGAGACAATGGGCGTAAAGAAGCTGGGTTTGAGTTTCATAGCAGCCGCCTTATTCGCATGATTGCATTAACTCAGTGGCTGCAGCTTTATCAGATGCTCATATTTTGTTGGAATATCCTGTTCTGCCACATTCCTTGCCTGTTGCCATCTGTTTCATAAAGAAAGAAAAAAAAATATGGGTAAAAAAAACAGTCTGTATAGCAGGGGTCCCCAAGCTACGGCCTGATCCGGCCCCCTGAACAATACTAGAGAGCATTCAGTGTTTTTTTTCATATATGTGGAATTTTCTTCAACCACCAGGGGGGCTCTTGAGCAGATATGAAACTTAGTTTCCCTCAATGGAATATATACTAGTCAGTACCAGTCACCGTTTCGCTCACGGTTTTTTTTCCATTTGCATTCTGGGTAAAAATCTATCTACAAACGCGAATATGTCGTCGGCAGTAATCCACACCCCCCCCCCACCCCCGTCCACAACTTCACTCTCCCTCCACCCCCCAGTCAACAAAACTGGTCTAAGGTTTCTTTCTCGAAAAACTAAGACCGGCCCCCGACCAGAAAAGGGAACAGTCATGTGGCCCTCGCAGGAAAAAGTTTGGGGACCCCTGGCGTAGAGTTTTTCCCCCCCATACCATCACCATATGTAGGCTAAGCCTGAATGTTATTTAAGAAAAAATACATTTCATGCAGAAAGTTATAAATGGTCACAGATGAATAAGTTTGTCTAGTGTCTTAGCAACATCTAGAGAAACTCATGCATGTATTTATCTTTAGTTGCACTGCAACAGTGTCTTCACAGACCTGCCTAAAAATATCAATCCTCCAGTTGCAACTGATCCAAAAAGCTGCTGCTAGCGTTGTGACTAAAACCAGGAACATAGAGAACATCACCCAGTTCTAAAGTCCTTCCACTGGCTCCATGGAGGTCAAAGAATAGACTTGAAAATATCGTTGTTTGTTTAGAAGCCACTGAACGGCTTATCACCACAATAAATTAAGGATCTGCTGTTGTTGTCATGCATACAAAACCACACTAATTCCCACCATTATTATTTATTAAAGATGTAGCCAACATTGAAATGGTAGTGAAAAACTAAGCATACCCTAGAACCTAAATTTGCACACAATTTATAAACCTTACAATAGTAGAAAGTACTTCCTTTTTGTTATTATTGCTGTATTGGTGTTTAAGGCTAACGGAGACACAAATACAACACAGATAAATTAGCATGTTCTTTGTGTCTTCACATGTGAAAAACAAACGAAAGTAAAAAAAGACAACAACAAAAAAACAAAAGACTCAAAGACACAGACTAAACATTCTATTTTTCAGCGGTATCAGGAGGAGACACCTGATTGGCTAATCCAGAGTAGCTCCTCATTTTGCCGAGTTGTCCAGTAAAGCTGCGCAGACCGACTCTAGGAGTCAGGACAACAACCAATCTCCGGTTGGTTGCTGTTCGACAACCGAAACACAAGCAGGTAGGTTGGGTGGTTTCAGTGCAGTTTTCCTTAATTTCAAGCCCAGAATAATTACAGCAATGTTATTATGAAGTTATTATCAACAGTCTGTGTGGAAAAAGTTTCGTTCTGAGTCACTGAGATTCTGTGTCCCGAACTAAAAGTTCGGTTCAGCTCAACTCATAGCTGGCATGCTGCTTTCAATAAGATGTAACATTAGCAAATTCATTCAGCTGTTACGGCTGTTGGTACTCCTTTCTGCGAGGTAAAGACAGATTTCTTGAGAGCATTTCCTCGTTGTAGAGTTGTTTAGTTTCTTCACTAGCCGCCCGGTGTTCAGCCGAAACCGACTCGGCTGTTCTCGGTGCTTTCCGGGGCCTCCATTGAAATGAGTGAGGGCTCAGTTCTCTGTTCTTTTACTTACACTATACTCTGTTTTACACCATTCAAGCATAACATTATGACCAGTGATAGTGTGTTTTACTTCATCTGACAGACGAAGTGAAACACACTCGTCATGGCTGCCGTTAACAGTTGAGCTAGATTGAATTTAATTAGATTTAATTAGACAGCCAGAGAACATGATTTCCTCAGACCTGATGTGTGGGGCCATCTTGAGATGGTCCATCCTGACAGGACAGCAGAACTGCTCACTTATCATCTGAGATATCCTGTTCTAACACGGTCCCAATATGCTGTCTTACGTTCCACACAAAGTCGCTGAAGTCTTTAAACATTAACTATAGCATATTCAGACATAGACAATTTAATAATAAAGAAATATTATAGCATGATGACTCAGGTGTTCCAATTAGAAGTCCCATAATTAAATAAGGCATTAGCATCATTAACACTATAATTAAAGTTTTAAGTTGTCAGAAAGACAGAGCCGTACAAGTCATATTTTCCTAGTAAAGTCTCAAGTTTCTAACGAGTGAAATAAACATTTTCACATTAAATCGATGACATCTCATCCACATAACCAAGATGCACTGTAGGTTAGGAATCTACACCTGTACTGTTTTATCTTTGTTGGCTAAATTACAAAACATCTTCACAAATATATGTTAATATCTATAAGCAATTATATTTTAGTAATGTAATCCATCTATAAATCTTCTAAAGGCTGATTTATAGATGTACTCTATATTTGTAAATAGGGTACAAATATTTATATGCGTAATAGGGTAATATCAACCCTATTACAAATATAAATAAGCATTTATACGCTAAGACAAATATTTGAAAGTGATTAAAACCTGCTCATACTGAATTTCTGAATGAATCAGCTGCAGTCTGGAGCTCACTCTGCCTTTCACTCTTCATTACTTGAGGTAAAAACTAAGACTTAATCTCAGACCACGAGCCTAAGTCAAGTTTCAAGTCTTTCTTTTCCTTGTGAGATAAGTGCAACTCGAGTTGGAGTTTCAAACTTGATTCACATTTCTGAGTAATGATTCCACATCCTTGATTTGTCAGCACAAACTACGAGCTTCCAGAGTCCTGAACATCTTCTACTTCATCTCTTCATCAGACGTGTTCTTCAGGTGTCTAGTGACTGGGATTCCTGCCAAACCCTAATCTATGCTTGGTGACGTATTCCTACACTAAATCTCCAAAAAATCCTATTGAACTTATAGAGTCATAACTAGAAATAAAGGAGCACAGAGCTTATAAAACAACATTTGAAGTAGCTCCTTTATTAATTCAAGGTGTAAACAGTGTGGATGGAGGTAAAGCACAGCATCCTGCACAGGGTGGAGAAGGGAAGCTCCACCAATGTGAATTGTCCTGGGGGGAAATAAAAACTAAAAGACAGTAGACTAATGCTGCAATAAATAGTCTATTGATTTCCTCATTGTGACGGAGCTATGTCTGACTGTTTTGTAATTTTAAAATTGCAGAGATATAGTTTTATTTCTCATGTCTCTGAAGCTCTCTGCTTTCTGTCTGCTTTCCTGTCAGGGATGTCGGAGCCTGCAGATCGTAGATGTTCCGTCTCGTCCATCTCTCTGATTGAGATCAAGACTGAGACGCATCGAGTCCTCCAGGCTTTTCTTGAACGAACCATCTCTACCCCCCACAAAGACAGGCCTGGCAGGATAACAGGAGCCTATGATGATCATAACAAGCACAGGTAAAGCTGGCATTTAAAAAAGCTCTGCATTGGTGTTTGAGCAATATTTTATGATGTAGTTACATTTTTAATTATTTTGATTTCATTTTAATTTATTTACACATTTTTATTCTGTATGCTTTTACTGTCAGTGCTTTTAATTGTGTGCTTTTTTAATATTGTTAATATTTTTATTTTACAATTTTCTCTTTTTTTAGTGTTATTTTTCAGCATGACTCTTTTGTTTCTCTTTTGAAAAAAGGAAAAATAAATCTCTTTTTTTGGAGTTTTCTGATTGAAAGTTGAAGTGCCTGTCTTATTTTTCCTTTGAAGTGTTTGTGAGCAAAATTTTATTGTTGGGTATTTTTTTCTACCCTAGACTCTTCAAAGATTTGATATGATTTCAGTTAAGAAGTTATGATATGATTATTGACACTCAAGACTCCAGTATTAAAAAGACATACACCTTTAGGTCTGAGTGAAAGATTTAAAGTTGAAATATTTTAAAAATAAAAGCAAAAGTTTGGAGAAAGCTATGTGTACTTTAAAGGTCCACTGCTTCCTTGAACAAACTCGCATGTGTCTGTGGGCTTTACAGAAAATGTTCAATACATTCCAAGGTTTCTTCCAGAAAACATGCTAAGCTCGGTGGTTGGGCCCTCGGTGGTTGGGTGCCGTGTTTTTGAGTTAAAAATGGTTTAAGGGCACAGGAAATATGAAAATATCACTTGAAAATTATGTGTTATTGGAAGATTGGAAGATTAATATCTGAACACCAACTATAAAGTCTGAAAAAATGCAGACATTAAAAAAAAACTTAAATAAATAAGCAATGTTAAGCCTGGTGGGAGCACAAGTTAAGCCTGGTGACCCACCAGTCTTATAATACACTGGGGGAAAACCTGCATTTAACATACAAAATCAGTCTCAGATTTTGAGCATTCATCTGATCAGTTCTGCCTGTTTTGAGCTCATTTAGGAATGCGATGTTTTAGATTGAAACTTTATTCATCCCTTTGGGATTTACCCTCAGGGAAATTGTGGTTCTAAATGTAGTCCTAAAATAGAACTTTTAGGACTGAAATCGAAATTTTAGGATTACATTGCGATTATGCAAATAAACTGCTGCTGGCCACGCCCTCCCAACTCAGTGAAAATGGCCTCAAACAGATGGACAGTGGTACAAGCTAACATCTTTTACCCCAAAGAGGACTCAGAAACACAATAAGTCAGCACAAAAACAGTTTTTTCTCACAAATGCAACCTTTTTTTTTTAAAACATATATATTAAAAAATATATATATGTTTTTTAGTTTAGAGGAGAAACAAACAAACAAACAAACAAACAAACAAACAAACAAACAAACAAACAAACAAACAAACAAACAAACAAACAAACAAACAAACAAACAAACCAATTTTCTGCTTCCAGCAGCCATTGTGCAGCAGTGAGGAATTTTTTGACTCCTGTCAGAAATCTTGTGAGGGTCGTCTGACCAAGCCTGGTTTATGGGGATATTATTATAATCTATTTCTCTGGTTTTTAGTGACATGGTGTGAACCTTAATTTAATATTTCCATTATAAAATATGGAACTATTGAATTAAATATGGAACTATTGAATTAAATATGGATTGAATTTTTGAATTTTTTGTATTATATGAAAAATTACAAAATTTATGATGCTTTTATTAGATGCTGTACATCAATACTGCTTTACTTAGTTTAAATTCCATTTTTCTGAACTAAAATTTGAAGAAATTTTTACATGTAATTTCTGAACTAAGCTGATTATTCAAAACATGTATTTTTCATACTAGCTCGTCGCCACAGTCTAAACGAAAGGATGGAGCAGATGCTCAAACGGAAAAAGAAGATGACAAGAAGACTGAAATCAAGGACCTGATGAAGAGGTCCATTATCCGTGGGAAAGGCTCACTGGGCCGGAGCAGCAAGCCCAAACAGTCCCACCCTGCAGAAGTAAGGAACTGTGGCTTTCATTTCACATTTAGTCCAAAATTAGTTAGACTGTCTTTACTGTCTCAGTAAAAGTCATTGCTTTAGTTAAAAAAAAAAAAATGAAATCCATGTTTCTGTTGCATCCTCAGTAATAAATGGTTTTCTTAAGGCTACGGAGAGATTTAGTCCCAGTTGATTTAATCCCCTTTAGGAATTATTATAATTTGTCACAGATAAATAGTCACAAAAGTTGTACTCATACTTCTGGTTTTTTATTTAAAAAAAAGGAATATTTGATTGTGACTCTTCAAACTGATCGTAAAAACTTTAAGACATCAGTTTAACTCCTCCACTAATAGTTTCATCTAAAGCTGCACAATATATTCAGTAACAGTTGCTATCATATTACAATATAATCAATACTTCAAAGCTCGTACCGTGAGAGATTAACATCCAGTCAGTGAGGTGAAAAATGTATTTCTGGTGATAGAGCATAAATATTCAGTGTTAATATAAAAACTGTTTTTTACAGGACAGCCTCTCGCCCTCCTCATCTTCAGATGAAGAAGAAGTTGAAAAAATGAGGAAGCAAAGACAAGTAATCAAAAGAAAGATTGCTTCGTTTTTCAAAAAGAAATTAAAGGAGAATAAAGAGAAGGAGAAAGAACAAAACAAGAAAGCGGCAGCAGCAAACGAGCCCATCGCTCATGGTGGGTTCCACTTCACAAACCTCTGAAACACATTTCCCTCAGAACCTTTACCCTTCTGATTATTTTGTGTTTGTGGAAACAACAACTGAACTTATAAGGTAAATGAAAAAAACAAAGTTAAATTGTGCAAGAGCTTAGCGACCTCGCATTACCACAATGCAAAGAAGCCATTTGCTACTTAAAGGAAGTCATGGCTCTAAAGATTGTTCTTGGAGATGACATTTAGTTTGACTGTTTTAGAAAACTAATATGGAAGGCTTGTCTGCAGAAAATGAATTTTCATCTGTATCTATAATGTTTCGAGAAACAGATCAACTTCCGGAGTTTTATGATGAAATAGTTCAGAAGCTGGAAGACATCATCAAACAGTCCACCAAGATAAAGACGCCAAGCCCAAAAGTAAAGCGACTTCCAGGTAACCACACTCACACCTAGTTCTGCTCATGTAGTGCATGTGAACAATATTGGATCATGCAGGAGTTCATTTATTTCAGTGATATAAATCAGTTTTAATTCAAAGTGTGTATTATTTCT